GCAGCATTTTTGGAAGTGGTTTGCCCTTGCCTCCTTCCCAGGGCTGAGAGAGGGTGACTGGCCCAAGGTCACCCAGCTGGCTTCGTGCCTAAGGCAGGACTAGAACTCACAGTCTTCCGGTTTCTAGCCTGCTGCCTTAACCACTACATCAGTCTGGCTATACTTTCATAGCCAGAGGAAATCGCTGATAAAAATTGAATGAAATATTCAGGAATAAGAAACATGTATCAGTTTGTTATATATATCTAACTTCAGACAAATATGAATGGGTTTGTTTTTATTTTCATTTGAAAAAGAAAATACCTGCTGATAAGATTATTTCTTGGCAGAACTGAATAAAATGTGTAAATAAACTGGCTCATGCTGAGGCAATAAAACCTGCTAAGCATTATCTGCGGAGAGGTATCACCTGATTAAATGACACTATATTGTGAATGACTCCTGATATTGTAAAAAGAAGAGTACAACAACAACAATCCTTGCACACAGAAAATCTAACATGTCAAAGACATGTTGGTATTTGGCATGCTAGATTTCTATCTGGAAAAATCTTGATTTGCTGAGTAGCATTTAATCATACGAACACATGATAAAGACCAGATACCTCAGCTGCTTAGTAAGAATGAAGCCTCTGATTTATCTTGATCAGTTCTGCAGTTGCTATATCTATTGGTGTAATTAGATCTGATGATAGCCTTCAGTTTCTTTGGGATTTTCTCAAGATAAACCTTAGCTATTACATCAAAACTTTCAGATTTTATTATTCTGAATCTTCTTTAGTGACCTATAAAAGGAAAATGTCAACCAATTTTTCAGTACTTAGGTAAACTCACTAATTTGGATTTGATAATTGACAGGTTAACTTCCTTAAGATTGTTCCTAGCTGTATTGTTTGTTGTGCAGATCCTTTTTCTTTAATCCAGTAATAAAGGCCCAAGCAAATAGATCTCTTGACTAATTTTGAATCACTAGTACTGAATCTTCCAGATTAATTGCATATTATTATGGAACAGATATCTAAGCCTTTGATTGGTCTCTAAATGTCTTGGAAAAATTATTTCCAAAAGGAAGCCAATGATCAAGACTGGAATAAAATATGGAAATGGAATCCAGTAGCATCAACCTTTGCCCAAATTAAAGAAACATTTTTAAAATTGTTTCACAGATGGTACATGTAAATTAGTATCATGAAGAAAGCAAGCTGTTCTCTCTGCTGGAAAGCTATGCAGAAAGGGGTATATATTTTCATCCATAGTGGTCATGCTGCTATTTTTTCCAAGATTGATAAAATCATAAATCAAAAAATTAATTTTTGTCTACTGTTGAATATATCCCTAAGGATCAATGCAGATACTCTAAACTTCTTGATAGTGTTTTTGTTGTCTGTGGCTAGACTAAACATTGGAAAAACAAAACCCTGACTGTGGACGAGTTATTTCGGAACATCTGGCATATTGCCATAGCTGAGAAGTTAACCCATATTCTTCAGTTTTGTTCAAGCCTTTTGAAAAAGGTCTGATTTTACAGTTTATGTCATTGGAGGGAATTACAGTTGCCCTCTGCTGGTTGAATATATTAATGAGTGGAAGGAATATTAGAGTAATATTAATGCTTGGCTTTACAAATCTTTCCTGTATGAGTGTGGATAAAATTAGCAATTTAATAAAAAGTAAAAGAAAGGGGGAAAAAAGCAACGTATTGCTCTGGATACATAGCACCAATAAAGGAAGAAAATCTCTCCCCCATTCTTTTTAAAAAAATGACAATATATTTGTGATATGATCTTTACAGAATTATACCAGTTTAGCAAATTTGATAAAATTATGAGAGAAAGAATGGGGTGAAGCAGATTGTGGAGATGACTGATTTACCACAGGTTCTGTATTCCACTAATTGGTTTATTAAATATATGACTCATTTTTTCACTCAGATGAGGACTCCAGACAGCTAACAAAATATATAAAAGCTACAATTTTAAAAAAATTAAAAAGTGAACACTACTATTATTAAATTCAGTTTGTTGGATCTGAATGCTAACAAACAGTTCAATACATGCTCCTCTTCTAACAGTATTGGTGGGAAGCTTCTAAATAAAACTCAGGGATCATTGAGGATTCTCACATAATACCACCAAATGGCAGGACAAGTAGGACAGGAAAAAAAACCTTTATCAAGCCAGATTCTGTTATAATAAAAAAAAAGGCTTGTTAATATATTATTGTAGTATCAAAAATCCCTCACCTTAAGTTGAGGGATAAGATCTTCCCAATTTTTACTTGTCTTTCAAAAAGCTGGTAAATTAAAAAATAAGATTTTGTTTCATATGATATATAAATTGCAAAAGCCTTGTTGAGATTATCATGGGTTTACAAGTCAGAGTCTCTGCACATACTACTTGCATGGGCTATGGTGAGACATGTCCAGGCAAAGGTCCCCAATCATTTGAGGGGGATGCCCCAGATGAAATTATGCATAATGCTTCCACAAAATATGACCCAATGAAGTAATTATGCAGGCATAAATTTAGCAGGATTTGAGAAGAACATGGTAGATTGTTCAGTCGGATTAAGTATATACTGTATCTTATTATGGAAACTGTTGCTTTCTCCTTGAAGGACTAGGTTCACAGCTTTGTTGTTAAATGGCTAAGTAATCATTGTCTGGGCAAGAAGACTGTTGCACAAGTTTGGTTGGTACAGCAACTATCCTTTTCCTAGATAAACCAATTCTTTCTGCTATAGCATGTCTGATGTTTCTCATGATATGTCACCATGACTCTCCTTTTTAAAAGCAGAAATCAAGATATTTTAATAGATAGACATTTGCCTTTTCTCATCTAAATTAGCGCCCCTCCCTCTACACATGAGTCCAAAGAGGTTTTTTACATTCTTTTTAAGTATGTTTGTAATACTAAAATAATTCCACTGAATAGGGAGCAGTCTTAGGTGAGTCTTGGATGGGATGTGCAGAACATTCTATTTGTACGTGAGAGAACTGCATGAAATCCAATTCTGCTTCCATATAGAGGATTCCTAGGGCCATCAATCAAAAGGCATTAGGCAGCCATTAACAGATTTTCTATAGAAAGGAAAGACAGGAAAAGCTGTTGGAAAGCACAGGATTACAGGTAAAAGGTGAAAATATGAATGAGGCAGTGAGAAGACACAGTAAAAATTTGGAAGCATCCTAATTCTTCCCACTGTTTGTTGATATCCCAAAATATAAACTTTGAAGATTCTCTAGACATGTTACTTTGCCATATTTTAGACAATGTTCCACTATACAAAACTAATTGTCTAGCTATGTAATGGCAATGAGAACTGAACAACAGCAGGAAAAGGCTACGGCTCTTGAGAAGAATAAACCACTTCCCACTTCCCGTGTATCGGAAAGGGCTCCCTGGCAGGGGATGGTCCATTCCATTTGGGGCAACCATTAATCACTAAACATTTCCTGAAAGTTTCCAGTTGACAAAGCAGATATTCACATTATATTTCTATTCATTGTTTGTTCTTCTGAATAAGTGAAGTCTTTAATGGGGCATTTTAGAATAGCTACCCAACCAGTGACATTTATAATAACATTTGTCCTTGGGTCTCTATGCAAAATGCTTCAGTATACTTCTCCCTTTACATTCAATCTAAGTAGGCAGCACGCTTTTCTATGACATGCAAAACTTGCTCTGTTTCTTTTCTGTCCCTTCCTCTGACACACATTTTATATATACACGAACTATTTCTATTTGTTTCCTCCCCTCTCCCAGCCATATACACATACTACACACACATGCACAGATGATTGTGTTTTTTGTTTAACTACAACTACCATATCTGAGTTGCAAAATTCCCAATGACTACTAGATGGCAGAAGCCTCAAACATTCTGCTACCATCTCTTGGTTATCTGGCTTTTTGCAGTTAGATGTGCTAGTCCTAGCTGCTAGTCATATGCCATGAGACATCAGGATAGGAGACAGAAGGAGAGCAGCTAAAAAATGCAGAAAAAAGTGAGTCCACCAGAGGGTGGAGACAGACAGGGGGCAAACTGTACAAAATCTGGTCTAGCATCACTCTAGACATCTGGCTACCCTAGACAAAATAGAGATGCTGTTGAGGGGCACTTTCTGAATCCCTCAGGGGGAAGACAACCTTCTCTTACATACGCCACTAAAGAAGGAGATTCATAGCTTGAGAGTACCCAATTCAGCATTGTCACCAGATGCCCGAATGATTGCAATGGTAGGAATCCGATGGTAGCTCAGGATGGTAGCTTTCCTAACCACTATAATGTGCTGTATGAAATTGTCCAACATTGAAGATAAACTGGAGATTGCAGCCCATGCAGAATGCTCCAGTTACTAAACAAATTACTTGTGCAATGCGAAGGTTTTCTCAGTGGCTCACAACCTCTTAACTAATGCTACCAAAGCAGAAGACCTTTGCCCGCCATAGTTCAAATTAAGCAGTACAGGCTGCACTAGAGTACTGCAGATACCTTCACTAGCAGGATGATTCACAGAAATTTCACTTGGTATTTATGGTTAGTTAGCAAAGCTACTAGTCAATTTGAAATGAAACCTAAAGAAAGATAGGATATAAACAAAATAGAAATATTCAAATATTTTGGCTACCAGTTGGCTCTATTACTTCCCATCATACACTTTTTGTATTTCTACCATCACGTCTGAAAATACTCTTTCCTTTCCTTTCAGCCTTGTCCGTAAACAAAGAGGAGCTGTTTGGAGGAGAAAGCCATTCTATTCTCATCACCTCCCGTCACTCCCACCCTGGCTCTTTCACTCTTTCTCCCACAATACATATAGTCACTCAATCCCAGCTCATTTGTAGACCACCAAGTAAACAGCAAACAGAAAAAGAGACCAGTGCACATGTTTCTGTTTGTTATTAGCTAACATCACATTTATTAGCCCAGGGAACCATGCTTCTGAAATGCATCAAATGAAAACCAATTTTGAATATAATTAATACAAAACTGGCCAAGTCCCTAGTGAGCTTTTTATTATTTTGCAGGATAACAATATGAATGAGGAGTTAACATTATGAGATTTAATGTTAGGTCATGTTTAGAGGTTCCAATGTCTTCATTAGGCCCATTGTATACCAAATACACCTCATCTTTAGAACGAAACTCACGCACAAAGATTTCTTGTACTTCAGTCTTCTGGTCACTGCAGTTGATCTTCAGAAAGTGCAGGCTAGGCTGTTGGTAAACCAGAAGACTCAATGGACCCTTGTTTCTTGTGATTGTCCCCTTCAAGAAGAACAGATAAAGACCATCACAATGGATTGGGATTGAGTGATTCACAAGATTGACTTCCATTGGCCCATCTTTCTTCTTAAGGCTGATCGGTTTCCGGTATGTGATGGAGAGATCTGCAAGAAATTTCAGAAAAAGTCAAGGATGAGTCAACTTCAGAGCCATAAGATTCTTTTGCTAAAACTGGAATAAATGAAAAGATATACAATTTAGAGGGAAGAGGAGAGGAGATAAAGGACAATAGGAAAATCTGTAAAAGAATGGAAAGAACAAGGAAAGTGAGCGGAAGTTTGATATGAAGTAGAATATCTCTCTTTTTAGTAATGTTTTTAAATTTTGATGTTTTATATATTTATATATATTTATGGTTTTAATGTTTTGTGTGAGTCACCCAGAGTCCCCCACTGGGGGGAGATGGGC